TACACCTGTCATAATTTTGCATACTCAGCTCCGAATAAGCTAGCTTCTTGCTGTCCTCTGTTCTCATCATGCTCATGCTCTAGCATTTCTGTCCCCACAAACCAAAGCAGTGTTGTCGCAGATTTCTTCTGGAGCATATATAATGGCACTCATGCTAACAATTACCTTTGCGCACACACCTATTTATTTCATGTCCATTATTATAATTTGATATAGAATTTATTTTGGTATTTTATATCTTTCCTCCATTTAATAAAATTCTGTGCTATCAAGATGTTTGTCTAGCTTGTAGTTATTAAAATGAGTTGGTATAACAATATTTTAATTAATGGAACAGTAGAGTATATACCATATAAATTTTAATAGCAATTACATAATTCTGGAAAAAGTATTATAGCAAATGAAAATGGCATATTGCTTATGAAAATCATTCCAAATATATTTTATATGATGAAAAGATTATTTTTTCTGGATATTAATACTCTCTATAATTGTTAATTCTGGCTTCTAATAATTGAAGGTTTGGAGGACTAAAATTTTTGATCACCTGAATCATACTTGTAAGAATACAATCAAAGATAAAACATCAATAAAACAACAAATATTGGAGGTGGACATTTAGCCTCACAGGTAAGAGGTTTATTAGCCATGTGCCCCAACATCAAAATATCTAGGCTTGATATACTGTTCTGACTCTTACTCCAGCTCCCTAATGCCAACCCTGAGAGGCAGTGATAACTGTTCAGTTTATTGGAACCCTACTATCCAAGTGGAGACTTGGATTGAATTTCCTCCTGGCTTTAGCATAGTACAGTCCAAGCAACTACAGGTATTTAAGGGAGTTCACAAGAAGATGGGAAATCATCTCCTCATACATGCTTTCAATATCCTACAAGCATCATGTTAAAAATGTCCAATCTAGAGTTTCAAATACTTGTTGCAAGTCATGTAGCTAGTAAGGATGAAAACAGTATTCCCGATATTACTTTATCTATAAGACCTGTTTTGTTTAGCATAATTTAAATTCATTTATCTACAAAGCATAATACAATCCAGTTACTCATGCCAATTGGAAGAAACTGGCACCAAAAGAGTAATGTGAATTTCTGTCCCAGGGAATTAATGCTCACATTACTGTTGAGGAAGTTTAAATAAATAAATAAGTTGTAGAATACAGTAATCATAGATAAAATTCTATATGTCAATAGGTTAACTACTCTAGTATCATTGTCTATAGCTAAGGCAGGGCAGAAGGGATCCATTGCTATGAATAAAAGCTGTGTCAGCAATTCATGCAAGTCACTTTGTTAGGCCTTAGAGATTCTAAAAAAAATCTATATATCTATATATCTATATATGTGTGAAACACCTGATTTAAGATAGGGAATAAGGAATCTAATCATTAAATGTATAATGTTCAATTTATAAAAATTTATATTTTATTCTGAGGCTGATAGATTACCAACTAGGTGAGAATGTGGTAAGATATAGAATTGAGGGAAATCAGTTTAGGTAACAATTCAGTTCAACAGAGATCTGTTGAGACTCTTGTACAGTCCTAGGAGAATGCTTTTTGGTAAAGATGGAATAATAAACGTCTCTCAGAAGACTTTAAGGGACAATAGAGAGAGAAAGATCAAGCCTAAGTAGATTGTTTTCTGAAGCCCCTTTCTATTAAAATGAAAAAGTTGAATGATGACAACTTAGTTTACTTATAGCTCCCTAATAATTTACTCATCTAATAGAGAGGGGGCTGATTTTTGCAAAACAGAAAGCAGTGTGAATTTCAAATAACATAATGTTAAAAACTTCTAAAGAATATTTCAAAATAAAGTAGTTTACAGATTGATTAGGATTCATTCTCACACTACTCAATCCCTGTAGATATTTAAAACAAGTTACTTGTGAGTTGTTATAACTTAAAATACATGTAAAGAATTATCAAAGAGAAATTCAATCAAATCAATTAAGCAAGGAAGACTTCTTTGAGACTAATGCAATAGGAGAGACTGAATTCTAATGTGCTAAATCAGGGGAGTGGGAGTGTTTTAAGTGCTGGAATGATCTAGTGGAAAAATACTAGAAAGCATTAATTGGGTGATTGGTCAAGATGAGTTAGTCATCTGTGAGAATTGACACTTACTGATAGAGGCACTTGATCTCCCAAAGAATGTGCAGGAATCAGGAGGCCTATGTTTCTTTATTTTTAAGGTGTGGCTGAGACATGCTGAGAAAGATACTGATGAGCTAAAAAGCTGGCAAGAATATTGAAGAAGACTTAACTCGTCAAGACAGTGTAGGAAAAAATACAAAATGGCAAAATTTTAAGTCAATATTACTGTATGCACACTACAGAAAATTACTATACTTATATCTATGGTTTAACAAAATTGGAGCATTTTAACAATTAAGTTCCAACAGTGGCAAATTGAAGGAGAGAAAATAAGTCTCTTTAGTAAGGAAAAAATTTAGACCATATATTTCAATCATTTTAAACTTCTAGAGATTTCAATATCTACTAGACTCATTTAGCATTAAATGTCATTAAGCATACTTTAAATTCTCCAAAGTTCGTGGTTTGTATAATAGCCTGTTAACATATTCATTGTCTGTCTGGGTTCGTTATGGCTGCTGCAGGAGTCTGTCTTATGATTTATTAAATGAACATCTTCACTTTTCATTCATGACTTTCACTCCTATTTTTTTTTTTTATCTGAACTTGAAGTGAATTACACTTAGGTAAAATGTATCCTTTCTCTTTCTTGAATTATCTTTCATTTCTACAGTGAAACTTGAATTCTGGTATTCTGGTATTGATTCATAAAATATTTCAGCATTTATATTTAGACAGATTTGCTTTTCTGATCTCAGATTTCTGAACTCATTCCCGAACAGTTTTAGACATAGAAAAGATTTTACTGATGCATTGTGGGAAAAGTGTTGGATTTGTTAACCTTATCTGTCTTCACTTAGTCACCTCTTACTCCTGGATGGGTTCATAGATTTTTGTAGGCTAAATTACCTCCATCTCCACAACATAAATGGAATTTCAGCTTTGTGGTATTGCCAAAACAGAGCACTCTTACCCAAAAGTGAGACAAAAGCTTTAATAGGAGAGTATTTACAAGACTAGGTAAATATTTATACCATAAGGAATTACGGCAGAGGAGGCTATGACAAAAAATGGGAAGAACTGATTCTATCTCTATCATCCTTAATAGTGCCTCCAATAAACCGAAGACAAAATAATTTTCTTTCATTATCACTGTGGTGGTTAAATCAGAAACTGTAAGTGAAAATTCAGTATCAATCATAAAACGCCTTATAAATTCCGATCATCATAATATTTAATAAGTTCACCAGGTTAGAGCTGTGAAAAATATCTAAGCAAAGAAATCAAGAGGAACCCCAAGCTGTAGACAGCTGCCTGGTTTCTCTTGTACTTGGGCATGTGTTAACACTGCTGGGAGAAAACAGCCATTAGCTGATGGGCATTCTGGGTTTGGTTAATGCCAAATTTGTGTTAAATATGCCAACATGCCAGCATAGTTCTGCATCCTATTTTCTTTTTTAAGGTAAGTGAGGAAGGTGAGAAATGTTGGACCAGGACATGCCACCCTGACCTCCAGGCATGCCTGGCTGTACTGTCACAGTACCTCCCCACAAGGGTCTGAGCAGGGGGTGGTCCATGACAGGCCGGGCCACAGCACCCACGAGAATATGAGAGAACCAGATCTGCAGACAGATTCTGTAGGGGACTTGTGAGCTCACCTCTGTGGGACCATGGCATCCACTTGTTTATTTGAAGAGCTAGGATAGTGGATTACCTAGCCAGGCTGCACCAGAGAATTCTCCTGGCAGGAACTGCCTTATATTCACAGGACCTGGGGCTGGGAGCAGGCCAGGCAGAAGCACCCGTAGGCACATGCAAAGGTCAGGACTGAGAATAAACACGCCATGCAGGGCTGCTATAGCTGCCAGCATGTGTGTTATCTGGGGATGGGAGCAAACCTTGTAGGGGAATTTGGGGAACTCCCCTATTAGGCTGTAGCTCCTACTGGGGAGCACAAGAGCCAGGTCCGGGAGTTGGGGGCAGACCAGATCAGCAATACTGCAGCATTTGTGTTGGCCTGGTCTGAGTACAAGCCGGGCTAGGCCAGGCTGCAGCACCCACTAGCATTCACAAGAGTCAGGACAACAGTGTGTAGTCAGTGTCAGGACTGGACCTCTTCAATTACTGATGTGTGTGCAGAAGACAGCATGCTCAGAAGCACACAGGGGCATAACCACCAGTTAATCTGGGTCAGCACAAGACATCAAGTGCCTCTGCCTCATTGGAGTAGAAAGCAAACAGGTTGAACCATTCCTCTGGCCAAGGTTTACAATATGTTTTTTGGGACTGTGGATGCACTATGGTGGACCTGTCCAACCAATAGACCTTAGAAAAATATTTTTCAACCCTCATGAAATGAACACAACATCTGAGGATTATCAAAACCACTCAGGTAACACTTTTGGAACACTGTTCCCCACATTAAGGTATCTAAGTCATCCTCAAATGACTCCCTGCATCCCCAGGTGCTGATGTAATTTGACAGAAATGAGTACCCCTCCTTCTCCTCCCCTGGGAACAGAGAAGAAAAAAACAGCTAAAATATTTGTCCAACTCATTTATTCCAAACTTGACCACCCCCACTCTGAATGGACATCAACATGGGTATGTATCCCTCTCAATATGTAAACAATATTAAAAAAGAAAACAAAATTTAAAAAGAAAGCAAGAGGAAGCAAAGGAAGAGGGAAACTGCTAGCTACATAACATAGATTTTAATGGAAATGAGTGGTGTATGTTTTAAAATCCTTTCATTTCAAAGTCTACTATGCGTGAGTGTCTGATAAGGTTTTGTGAAACATAAAAATAGTAAAGGCTATTGAAAACCGCAGCACAAAGACAAACGCCAAGAAAAGAATATGAATAATTTAATCAAATAGGATTCAACTTTATCCCCAGGTTTTTTGCCTTTTATTCTTCATTTCAGTTACATTTTCCATTGGTGTTATATTTCCATTGGTGTTCACCAAGGTTGTGCATGCACCTTGAAATGTTCACAAAAGGATCACAACACAGGGATTTATAATTAGGATCTTTGTTATATTCAGAATCCCAGGGGAACTAATTGATTCCGGAAATAATTGATTATGCAAGAAGAAAATTTCTTATATAGTTTTAACTACAACAGTTTATAGACAAATACAAGCTTCATTTGCACACAAAACTCACAAAATTGATTGAAGAATATCTCTTTTATGCAAAATATACACTTTAGGATATAATTTGATTACTATTCTACTACAGGCTAACATTGTTCCTTGATCATTTAATAAAAAAATACTCTCATTGCCAGAATCTTATTTTTATAGTATTTATAATTGAGGTAACAATGACAAAAGACTTAAATTATAAATAATTTTGGTGAGTTTCTTACAAGTTGTAACAATTTTTCAGAACTGAACAAATACATGAATCAAAGTAGGTCAGTGTTGATAACTAAACACTAAAAACCTTTGTAACGTAATTGACAAGTTGATAATTAAGTCGTTTATAGGAAAATGAGATAGCCAGTGTCCATGGATCCAACCAACAAAGCAAAATAAGAGAAATTAAGACAGACCTATGCTACATCACATCAATGCCTTGTATAATTCACAGCACAGCCTACTACAGGCCCATGATTTGATGTTGGGCCTATCTGGAGCATCAGAGATGTTGATCGTGGATTTGGCCCCCCTTGATGTGAGATGGTCAAAGCTGTTGTGGACCCATGCACACCACCTGTTGGTATTTACAGTTGTTCCATAGACCTTGGCCAGACTTCAGGCAGGCCACTCATATGGGGAGCACCAAATGAGTTCCAGCCACAGTTCTTTGATAAGTTTTAGGTGCTTTGTGAAGATGCAGCAACCTCTTCCAAGTACAATCTGGTCACATAGGGAGACACATTCAGTAGCAGAAATCTCTTTCCAGTATAGTCCTTGGTATGACCAAATTCCATTGTCCCTTTTTCAGCAGTCAAAAATTCATGATAAATTCTGTGCAACACTGCAGTCAATAACAGCAGCACCAGACAGTGTATTAATTCCTTAACCACAGACCTGTGTGTAATGATAACATCCTATATGTGGTATTATATAAAAAAACTCTATCTCTAAATATCATATAGGTGCATCCAGATAAATACATTGCTGTACAAGTATTGTGACATGCAGATCATGCACTAGAACATGGAGATGCCAAATAGTACATATTTAATAGCCAATTATAAAAGTGACAGTTGTCTTCCTAATAAAAAATAAACTTCAGGAATAGGAATTAGCCAATAATCTCAAGGATCCTGAATGACTTAGAAGTATTGTTTATCCCACAGAGTAGATAACGGCATTCTCTTCTCTTACATACTTAACACACCAGATGCACTATTGCTGCTGCATTCATAGAGATGTATAAACAGACTTTTCCCTCACTCAGACGAAGACTCTCCAGGGATTTCACTGAAGTGTAGTAATGAATGCTGGTTGCTAGGTAGTCAAAACTGATACTGCAGCAAGCAACCAAGTGTAATGGTGAAATTGCTGCTTAAATCGTGCTTACCAAAAAGAGTCACAGTGCCAATTTAACATAGGTAGTCTGTAGGGTGTCTTTATTTATACACAAAGGAGGGAGGCTGCTCCATTTAGGAAAAAAGGCAGGGGTGGGAATAGGTTGAGACAACCCATTATTAAAATCACGAATATTTTAGCAAGGCATTTCTGTGCTTCATGGAGACAGATGGCATATACAGTTAAGACAGGGAGCTAAGACAGACAGACAGAAACAACACACAAAACAAAGCACCTCATTAAACAGTGCCTAAAAAAATTTGATAAATCTTTTGATTCAGAGATTTAAGGCTAGTTAAAAAAAATCTTCCTGGTTACACCAATGATCTTTCATGTTGACATAAAATTAATAAGGAAGAGGATACAAAAAAATGACACGGGAGCTTTGGATGGTATTTGGCACTTTGCCTCTGAAAATGATGACAAATTCTGGGGTTAAAAAAAAGTGACCCTGGTACCAAGCAGCAATTCCTGGCTAAGCAACGTAAGCCTGGCTGACAGTTACCTTTCTCTCATGTTTTGTGCCTTTCCCAAGTCATTAAGTAAGAGATCTGGCCTCAGCTTGCATGTAACCAGTAATGACAACCTCTTGGCAGTCATCTGTGTGCAAACAACCAGAGACATTCAGAACTCCAATGCAGCATTTATGAGGAAAAAAAAAATCAAGGAATAAATTAAACTATGTGACACAAATATTTCTTTCAAAGTACAAGAAAAACATTGTCAGAGAAACTTGCCCTTCCTGCCCCATCATTCAACATGCAGAGCAGTGGACCAGTGCTTTCATATCAGCAGGATGGTTGGATGCAAGTACATATATCCCAAACTTTCCACAGTTCCCGTGTTCTGCAACATTGCTTTCAGGTGATAGACAAGATGACCTATGCAAACGAGCAGACCACATTCACATCGTATGCAATCAAGATAGGTTCCCAAACATCTTCAGAATGGTTTAGAGTCACAAGAAATGAAGTTCCAATGACGTGGTTGTCGTTTGGATGTTAAATACATCTCCCTGAAGATATGTTTACTTAGTAGTGTACTGGCCAAAATATGACACTATTCATCTTTGTATCACAAAAGGAGATTAGGGCAATAAACATGAAGAAGCAGTAGCACTGCTTTAGATCATCTTTAAAGCCAGGGTAAGATCTGTTAGCTACCCAAGTGGCATTTCTGACTTCAAAGAGTTGTATCATGCAGGACTTATACTATTTTAATGGAGCCTGGAGTAACTCTACTTTTAATTATTTCCATGATGGGATCAACCATACTTGAATGAATACAATTGAGCTGAATGATGCTGTTTGGTTTACAAGATAGATGGAATGGGAGATCGAGAACGCCTCAGCGGACAGGGAGAGTTGTAGGGTGATGTAACTGGAGAGAGCCTCAGAGCATTGCCTGCCAAGCCCGCTATGTTGTTTAAGCTTCGGGATTTTTCATATCCTTTTATGAAAAAATGCACAGATGTCAGTTGAAGTCAACCAGAAAATAGACAAAACAACAATAGTATGCATTGTAATTGAAACTGCCACTTTGAGGTCAACGCAGAACTTGCTTACGAAGAATTCAATATTAAGATAATATATATCTTAAAAAAAGAATATCACTCTAGCTGTCACAAATTATATTTTTTAATATTTCAAGATATAGTCCATTCCAGATTTAGCAATTCTGGCATAAAAGCTACCAAAACTCTTACAATTAGGCAAAAAAAAAAAAAATGACATAAGATATAAACTTGACCAATATTTTTAAATTTTATAATCTGTTCCTGAAAAGAAGAAATAAATTGGATGTTATTCTTTTTTTAATTTAGTAAAGCATTCTAAACTTTAAGTAAACAACTCTTTTTTTCTTGAATATTTAATCTTCCAGTTTTACAAGTTTAAAAGAAAGATTCTTGAATAATGCCAAAGGAAGTCATTATTCAGGTAATGTACACTGTTATGCTCATTTCTAATATCTTGAATTAAAAAAATCAAAGAATAACAACAAAAGAATGAAATATATATTAAATCATGATTCAGGAAAATAAATTCTGAATTTTAGTACACGATGCTTTGAACTAAGTTCTTCTCTATAACCTTCTTCTTCCAGAAATGAGAAAAATGTTATCTTAATAAACCTTTCATTTCCATCATTTTGTATTGTATTCTTCCACTCATGATACAACGAACTTATAGATTAAATTATTATTTTACAAACACTAGCCCAATACTTTTATTTAACTGCCTAGTAAGTAAATACATAGTAAGGTCATCTTACTTGAGGATTCATATATTGTAATTTGTTTTTTTGATTACAATAAATTAGAGGCAGTTAATTAGGGTGTGGAATTAATTTTAAAGTGAAATGTCTTAAAAGCAGATAATTATCTGGAACAATAATCATATTATACCACTGTAGAAATGAAATACTCTACAGCCCACTGAAGAACTGTTAAACAACAGGAAAATATAAATCTCTTTGGAAAATCAATGTTGAACAAGTAGGCTCCAATGTACATATGTAATCCTTGGACCAGGATTGGCCCTTTAGAGGACTGCAAGGACTGTAGAAGGCAGAAAGAGGATTTTTCTCTTATTTTTCATGTTCCTTCCAGCCACTTCCTTAATTTTATCTTTTCTTAGAACTTTCAGGAAAGAAGTTTTGCCATTCCTCTCTGCTTTAACTGCAGAGAACTAACTTATCTGATTATCTGATTTATGATGGGGCAAGACAGATAAGGACATGCAGTGAAGAAATAGCCGTATTACAGAGTAAACTGGATTGTACAGGGAAGGGGAGTAACAACTCCTCCCCACAGACAACCTTAATTTTCAGAAACATGGTTGTCTTTGAGATTGCATAGATGAAAATTTATGTTGCTTATTAATTATGATAAAGTGCTCCAGAATATAACTCTGATAACTATCTAATAAAAAGAGCATTCTTTCCCAATGTTAGTTTTCTGAAGTGTAAAAGGATAGAGGTGGTACATAGTACATTCTGTACTGATAGATGATGCACAATTAACAGGAGGATGTCTTAAACAATTTTTTTAAATTGAAGGTAATTTACCATTACATAAGGACTTTAATGTGCCTGGAGGGTTAGTTATTACTGCTCCTCTGTAAAGAATCTGAAATTGCACCTTAAGGAATTGTGCAAAAATTAATTTATCCTAGGCAGTAGAAGCTGACTGTGTAACATGAAAATGTAAATTAGACTTTAAACATTGATTGACTTTGATTAAAGGCAAATTAGTGAATATGCATGAACCAAAGGGGCTGTTAATATCTATAAATCATCATGGTGTCAACTTATAACTTAGTACCCTGCAATCTCCAGGCTTGTTATAAAATTTCCAGAAAGCTAAATATCCATTTGGCAGTTTTGTAATGATTATATCAGTAATATGTATTTCTTAGTTAGAATTCTAAATGTTACTCTTTCTCTAAATATTAGTTAATATAAAAATTATCCATTCTGTTTATATCTGCTTATGTTTAATGCCTATAATTTCTGTGTTGATTTAAAAAGGTGTATTTCTTAAATTAGGAAGAAGTATTGCACTAGTAAAATTATATATGTTATTCTTGTTTCTTTATCTTAAATGTTACTTTTAATAGAAGTTTTAATAAAATGTTTTGTTTAGCCAACATTTACTTGAGTGGCTGGAAATATATTTACTTAGCATAAACAAAACTGAAACTAATTTGAATTAACATTGCAATATATAACATAAATTTTATTCAGTGCTTAAGATCATGTAATTATTTCACAGACTACTGAAGATATCTTTCATGATCTAGCCATGATATGTTTTAGCTTTTACACGTTCTCCTTAACACAAATGTAAAAGTAAAAACATTGCTTCTGAATATCAGGAGTTATTCCTCTAGGGAAACCTTAAATCTTCATGTGTGTCATACCAAGTTCTTACTTTGAATAAAAATAAGAACTAAAGGGAAACTTAGCAATTTGTTTATGTGAGGGAGCTTATTTAGAATCCTCATATGAAGTTATTAGAGAAATCAACTTGAAAAGTAAGTGAAAGGACTATCTAGAAAACAGATGTCAAGGCAGAATTAAAAGAACTCTTTTACCAAAATAACTGGAAACAGAGGGAAAAGTGAATGAATTCTAGCCAGTCACGATGACATACTAAAATTATTAAATAAATTTACATAAAAATGTTACCAGAGTAAAAATAAATACAGCAAGGAGTTGATTCTGGGAAAAATGACAAATAACTGAAGGTTCATGGAAAAGTTTTCAAAGATTTTTTTTCATCAATGATGGATATTTGTTTTTGTGAAGTAATAGTGAATATTTAGCTTGTATCAATATTAAATATCTTATTAATTGCTTTGTTAAAGTTTGTGATTTTAGAGTAAACTTTTATAATGACACAGTGGCTATTATTGGCAAAGCTTTTCCTCATCCATGATTTCCTTTGATGGTGTAAAATTCAAAATTCAAAACACATAGACAACATGCTCTAATGAGATCTTAACCACATAATCTTGCCAAATATATTTAGCAATTGCATATTGCATTTCATTAGACAATGCTAAAAACAACTGGAAATTTAAACACATACATATATATGTATGTTATATATAGTAAATTAAGAGATGCAACGCAATTAGAACAGTATGTTCTAGATAAGGTGTTAATGTTTAGTATCACCATTATTTAATGTGTACACATGTATTTTTCTCCACATGGTATTCACTATCTTCACAAAATATTTAAAATGTGTCCTACTGCATATGTAAACATGTAAATGTCAGATTTTAAATAAATAATTGCAGATAGTTCAAACAGGCGATAGTGCAATCAACGGATGCTAACAGCCAAAAGAATTAGAATGCAGAGGCATTAAAAATGGTACTTATGGAAGATTTTTTGCTATCTCTTGAGTTTCAAATGCATAGAATCAGAGAACAATTTAATGTGGTAAGGAAAATTGAAATAAAAATTCATCATGTGATGAAATGTCTCAAAGAAAGGAGGCATCATAAATACATTTTTGGCTTACAATAGTAAAGATTCAGATAGAAATTATAATGAATAAAAAATAAGCAAAGTAGTTTTAAAATGCAATTGCATTAATGTGAAAGTTCAGGAGTGGCTTCTCACTTGAACTGGGCCAATTGACATAAGGAATCATTATAATTCTTTTCTTATTCTGTGAACAAAAGAGACACATAACTAAGATATTAAAGCCCCTCAAATTGTTCAAGAAGGAGATAAGCAAAGAACAGATAAACTTTTAAGCAAAAATGTGTTATAATGATCACAAAGCTATTCTTAAAGAAAAGATGAAGATTTCAATTTTCTTGGTGTCTGTAGAGTTTGCCAAAAGGAGAAACTAGTTAAGGAATCCTTATAGATATTAGCAAAACTGAGGAGAGGAACCAAGAAATAAAGTGGAACTTTAAAATGTGCATTTTTTTTTGTTCCTTAACAAAGACACCTGGCCAACAATTTCAATTCATTCAACAAATACTGAACAAGCATTTGTTAATATGTATGTATCTGGCAATATGCAGTGTCTGTTGAAAAATGCTAACAAAATTATTTTTATTGGTCTTGAAGACAACTTTCCAATGTGCATTTTGTAAGTAAATAAATAACACTTGAAGCAATTAACTATACTGTTCTATGCAGCTGAAAATATTGTTCTTTCACAATATTGAGGTACTCAAATAAACCACTGGCAAAAATTGTCCAAGTATAGGATACTAGAGTTAATCAGACTACTATGTTCCATGTTTTATTTTGAAGTTATAATTATTTTATAGTCATCAATTAGCAATAACATAGGCACAGAGTCAATTAGTGAGTTGTAGTGAGTTGCAGTAAAAAATAATTTTAAAGATGGATGAATACATTACATTAAATAATTGGCTGAATGATAATATTTACATATATCATTACAGCTATGTCCATAGACAAATGACAAGTAAAAAGAAGGATATAGTGCATTTAAGAAATGACAATCAAATAGACTGTTATGTATTCTTAAATATTTATAATGAAAAGATGTGATGGAGAAAGAAAAAGAGCTTACATGCAAGTTTTGAGAAAATGATGAATGAGCATAATACAACACTCCACGTATTGCAAGCACTTAGTTGCTAAGTCACCTGTGACGATCCGGTTCAATGCATGCCTACCTTTCCTGATCCCTCCATCAGAAGCACACGTGTAATCACCTGTCGTCAGTAGGAAACATGTTTCCCCTCTTCTGTTTTTGTCTCTGGTACTAGAGCGTCTGATGGGGAGCCTTTCTGGGGGCGATAGTGGCGGCTCACTTCCTGTACTGTCGTCACCTGATAACACTGGTCACAGCACCATGCCCATGGACAGACAGTGATGGATGAGGAAATGAGACAGCACAAAGAGTTTACACTGAATGCCATAGTCCAATCACTCAGTATACAGAACACAATAATAAACATCACAGTAAGAAAAGGAATTCCCATCACTCATCACAAAAAAACCGATGTATTGATATGAAATGGAAATGTATTGAAAAAGGAATATTCATTGGGAAATTTTAATTCTTGCATTTTTTTCTCTTTTAAGAAATCAACTTTCACACAAATGAAATGAACACAAAATAACTGTGATATTGAAGTAGCACAGAGGTTAGCGTTATGTGCTACTTACGAATGTACTACTAAAATAATGTTTACATAATTTTAGTTACTCTGTCTAGAAGTTGTAAAAGTGAAGACTTCTTAAGGCAAATCTAATTAAATGTGTTTTGGCAAGTTTTTAAGAGACATACTTCTGGGCCCGGCGCGGTGGCGCAGTGGTTAAGGTCCTCGCCTTGCACGCCCAGGATCCCATATGGGCGCTGGTTCTATCCCGGCAGCCCCGCTTCCCTTCCAGCTCCCTGCCTGTGGCCTGGGAAAGCAGTTGAGGATGGCCCAAAGCTTTGGGACCCTGCACCCGCGTGGGAGACCCGGAAGAGGCTCCTGGCTTCGGACTGGCATAGCATCGGCCATTGTGCTCACTTGGGGAATGAATCATCGGACGGAAGATCTTCCTCTCTGTCTCTCCTCTCTGTATATCCGCCTTTCCAATAAAAATGATAAAAATAAATCTTAAAAAAAAAAAGGGACATACTTCTATTTGTCTCTGCTTGTAGTTTTCTTAAAAAAAAAATGAAAACAACGCCAAACAACACAAATTTTTACCCATGTATTCATTTATATGGTAAAATACTTTTGAGCACATGATGAGAAAAGATCAGTGTCTCCAAATGCCCTTGGAATAACTATTTGTTTACTTCTGTATGCTTGCCAAAGAACTTCTCATCCTATCAGCCTAAACACTAGCTTGTCATTACAACATTTATCCAGCAGCAGAATGCCCTCCTTTTTCACGTGCTTCTTCAGGGCTCTGCACAGATCATTTGGAAAATCTGATAAAATTCCAACTTGTCCAAAATACACTTGATGGACTTCAAATATAAAAGTGATCTTCAAAAGAATTCATAAATAATGTATACTGGGAAAAAATCTATACATGGATTCAATTTTTTTTAACCAAAATAAGCTTTTAATTTCATTTCCCATGATTGTTTAAAGGTTCTCTTATGTATTGACAAAAGTCATGGAGCAATCTATATAGGAACTGTGAATGCAATTTTTAAAAAGTTACTTCTAAGCACATTTTTTCCATTAATATACTAAAAATTTCTAGAAGCTAAGAAGGCACTTCTGAAAATGACACTTCCTTTTGTTATTTGCTTGCTTGTTTGCTAATTAGTGTCATTTCTAAACAATTCAAACTAATTCACACGATCTCACCATAAATCATTGTTATATAAGAGAAAGATGATGTGTGTCTGAAGTACAAGGACTTTACCTTGTACAAGACGTAAACGTAAAGTACAAGTACCTTACGTTTCATGGCTGGGTAAAAGCTAATCACATCGTTAAAAACAAAACCATATCATCTGCATGAAACATACTACAAATGATCCTACCATCAATTTGGAAAACTGAATATCAATTTACAAGCAATCCTATGGTAATAGAAGGAAGTAGGGATTCAATTAATCTCAAGCAGTAAATAATTCGAAATTTAGTTCTCTGTGAAGAAACAGAGCTCAATAAATAATGCACAGAAAGGAAAATACACAGAGAAATTCAACTTTGGCCAAAGTAGACCACCTATCTCCTAATAGGGGTTTGTCTTTATTATCTTCCTCTGGTCTCAGAAAAGTGGTAATATTTTGGGGAACCTATTATCAGAACAATGCAAATTTAATCAGCACTATAGAATATTACTAGGGAAGAGCTTTTTATCTAAATCATTATCTTCCATATCACCTCTTTTGTATTGACGCTTTGGAAATGTAAGCATCCATTCTTCTTAAATAACTGCTTTTTGTGAATTAGGCTGAGATGCATGGTACTATGTGGCAGAAGTAAAACTGAGACAAATACACCAAGCCAAACAATATGGTGAGATCAACATTTTGAGGGTGAAGGATGGAAAATGACCAATTTCATACCACCACATCATGCAAGGAAACAAAGAAACATTGGCACAAAAGTAACAAACAGGCAAAAGAAAATATTGGCACCATCAGCAAAAGGCATTCCCACTAAAGCAGGAAAACTCTATAGACCAGCTATGCAGACTTCTATATTTGGGGTTCATTTAACAACAACAAAAAAGAAAGAAAGAAAGAAAAAAGACTATTCTAGCTACCTAAAAGCATGGCACAAACACACATTTTGTGAAGGAATAGGAATGAAAATTCATGAACATTTGATGAAAATGACTACCTTCTGCCTAGGGGACATACTGGTCTATAAAGTATTTTATGGCATGCATTGGAAATTGTGCCTTACCTGATCTGTTATGTTCCAGAAGTCGACTGTCTTTGCCCAGACAGGTGTCACCCTGTGTGCTATTGCAGGCCATGTTCAATTCTGTCTTGCAAAATGTAGGCGAGCTTGCCTGAGGAGCAGGTGGGATGTGCTTCTTTCTCTTCCTTGGTAGTTTCTGCTTCGCCATTGCCAAAGAGTAGTACATTCCAAAATTGTTGACAATGACTGGCACTGGCATGGCTATTGTCAGCACTCCAGCAAGAGCACACAGGGCTCCCACCAGCATCCCTGACCATGTCTGGGGATACATGTCTCCATAGCCCAGAGTAGTCATAGTGACCACAGCCCACCAGAAACCAATGGGAATGTTTTTGAATTGCGTGTGTTCACTAGCTGATGGGTCGTTAGGTTGAGCTCCTACTCTCTCAGCATAGTAGATCATGGTAGCAAATATCAAAACTCCTAGAGCCAGGAAGATTATCAGCAGCAAAAATTCATTCGTACTAGCTCGAAGAGTGTGTCCGAGCACCCTCAGACCCACAAAATGGCGAGTGAGCTTGAATATTCTTAGAATCCTCACAAACCTGACCACTCTAAGGAAGCCGAGCACGTCTTTAGCAGCTTTGGATGACAGCCCGCTGAGTCCCACCTCCAGGTAGAATGGGAGGATGGCCACAAAGTCAATGATATTCAAAAGATTTTTGATGAATTCAAGTTTATTGGGTGAAAAAACAATACGGACTAAAAATTCAAAAGTAAACCAGATCACACACACTCCTTCTACATATGTCAAGGCGGGATCCGTTTCAATTTCATACTGGAGAATGACACTTGAGCCATTGATGACTGGTTCTGTCTTGTTCTTAACAATATTGAAAGCTTCATGTGTCTCCAGACAAAAGGTTGTGATTGAGACAAGGATGAAGAACAAGGAGGCAAAGGCAATAAACTGTAGAAGAAAAGGAAATAATAATATAACATATAATAATAATAATAATAAAACGGTTATTTGAAACACGATGGTCCAACTCTAAGAACATCAATCACTACAAATGAAAAAGAACAACACCCATCTGGAAATTTCACATGGGATCTTACTCAAGTATAAAAAAAAATTATGTGTGTAACACTAATTAGAGTGTATACACAGTGTGATTTGAGCCCTAGTTACAATTTATATAAATCCCACTTTTATGTCATAATGAAACGAATTTTTAAGTCATATATATATGAAATAAAACCTGTGTAGAGGGCATAAAAATCATTTCAAAAGTATTTAAGTGACAACAGACTGAAAAAATAGGTAACAACTCCACACAATGCTTTTGATTCTATAAAACTTTATGTATTATATCAAGTTCTCCATCAATAAAATAAGTTATCTTACACACTGAAGGAGATTGTCAAACCATTCAGACTTGACTGTGTGAGTTTCTTTAAGATTTATTTTTATTTGACAGACAGATTGACAAAGAGAGAAGAAGAAACAGAAAGAGAGAATGCTTCCATGTGCTGGTTCACTCCCCCAAATGGTCACAAAGGCTGCAGCTGAACCAGTCTGAAGCCAGGAGCCTGGAGCTACTTCCAGTTCTCCCAGCTGGGGTACAAGTCTCCAGGAACCTACGCCATCCTCTTCTGCTTTCCCAGGAACATTAGCAGACTGCTGAATCAGAAGTGGAGCAGCCAAATTTGAACCAATACCCATATGAGATCCAGCACCACAGGCAGAAGCTTAATGCACTATGCCATAGCACTGGCTCTTGTAGGTCTTTTTTTAGTTATAAACAAAATATTCAGTGTATCATGAAGTATTAAAATGGAATATATTTTTAATTTAATTGTCAATTTAAGTTGGAGATTTATCCAAAAGGAAAAAAATCTAGGAAGGAAAACAGACAATAGGACAGGAAAGAAAGACATTGATTAATAACCAAATTTAATTTTCTTCCCTTATTGAAAAGAAGCTCAAATCTTTAAAAAATATATTAGAATTGTAGTTTAATTCAACCAACTTCATCCCTTCAGTTAATAATATATGAATACACACAACCTACCTTTCATTTATAGTTTTAATTTGCAATACATTATCTTTCGAAAGTTTACATAACTATTTTATATTAACCTACCATCCAATTTTATAGTTCAAAAATTTCAGGTACGGAGATGTTTAAATCATGTTTTAAAGTTTCTATTATCAAAGTATGACACTAACCTGCCAAGTTAAGCTCTGAATTCTTCTTCCTTACCAATTTCTGGAATGTACAATAAAAGTAGATTGAAAACATTTTTTTTCAGGCTGCTAACATATATTTACTATTAAAGATCTTAAAATTTGTGACCCAGAACTTTTCAGCATAGAGGATTCTTACAGTTCGAGCCAGAAGGTTTGGGAAAAGCTGACCAGTTTCCTAGTGCTCTCCAACAATGCTATCAGGTTTGACTTACTGAGTCAATGTTCGTATCCTGTTCATTGATCATCTAAATAAAATAACTAATCAGGAGCAGGAGGATGTCAGTGAAACAGAGAAGCCCTTATTTGAAAATAATAGGGTATACCAAAAAACCAAAGTTGTCCGCTTTCATCTGCTTCTCCAGCATGGCGCTGAGAAAGAAGAGCCATGCTCATTAACAGATCAAAACCACTTCCTTTGCAATCTGGTTGATTTCAAGCCAAGGCATCTCAGTCATATCGCACCACAAGGCAAGTCATTTTCATGGCATGGACTTGCTTTCCAACACACCTCTTCCCATCGCTTTCGATTGTGACATTACCATCAGCTTTTACAGACATATTTTAAAGCATTAAGATGGTTTTAATCATGCTTCACCTTGTGCAAATAAACACACAATCACTTTTAATGAACTATTTGAGGTTACACAAGCACTAAGAATCTATAAATTTCTACTGGAAGAACAAAATATATGCTTCATAAACAATCCCTTAATCTAATCCTGGTGTAATGTATACATTTGAGAGTTACATTTGTTTCTGATTCTACCTAAAACTAGTCATTACATCCTTGACAATATGAACAGAAACTCCCTTTCCACCCTTCACTCACATTCCCCAAATACGCACTGTCTTCATAATTTCAGGCTATTAAAAATACGCATATATGATTCTATCTATGAGGCAACTGGAAAGTTAAAGAGAGTTAAAATAAGTGTAATTATATTCTTCTAATGTTCCTCAGTCTTGGTCATCAGTTTTTCGGTCAAAATTGCCACCTCGAACTCTGTCATTATTCATAGAATAGTCAGCTAACTAAGAATTCTCAATATCGTGTTTTTTCCAGAGTATCCTTAATGCATCTGTCCACCCTCATACAACAAAATATTCTTTGGTACACTGTGATGTTTATCAACATAGAGCACTGGAACCTTTCCCATCAGATGCTTTCTTACTCTGCACTCATCCATTCTTTCATTCAACAAATACACATTAAGTACTTCCCTATTGCAGGCTACAGTTCTTGACAGCAGTTAACAAAACACAATCTTGTCTTTGAGGAATTTGTGAGTTGTTCTAGGTATGCATATAGAAGATGAATCACAAAACTGTAATTTCAATTGTGGTAGATGCAGTAAAGACAAATACAGGATTCTTTTAAAGGATCAAAAAGGGGATGCGCTTAGATTGGGAGATCATTAAAAACTGCTGACAAAAAACCTTCAATGACTGAAATGTGTGAGCAATTATCATAACCCTCAATAGGAAGTTTAACTGAAATAAATGGGCTTTTTTGATCCTCTATTCTTAATTGATCTCTTAATTCTAACATCACAAAGACAGCAGGTTTTACAAATATATTTCTGTAGCACCAATCACAATTGCAAACCCAAATTCAGCTCCACAGTTTGGAGATAATGTAAAAACAAGAACCACATATATTAAAATTATTTTCAGATTAAACTACTAGGCAAATGTCAGAAATCATTCTGTACATTTTAGCACACTTTTGAAAACATATACATTAACTCAGTATGAACTATTGCAGCCTAATGCTTGTGCTCATTAGATGAGTTATGTTCTCAGCAAAAGGTCAACAGAGTCTTTAGACACTACACTATGGTGCTTGGAATAAAAGGAACATGAATCGTCTTGTACTTGAAAATCATTTAAATTACCCATCTGTAATCCTAGGAGTGCAAGTATAAAGAGTACATTAACTGGAACATACCCTGGAAGCTAACTCCAGTCAGAATTCCTTATCCCAGTGTAGACCTCAGGCACCAAGCCTCTCGTGTGAATATGAGTAATATGAATATGTGAATTAGATGATTTTTACACATACAGAATTTTAAAATAATGATTCCAGAGTGTTTGTTTTTAACACATTGTCACTATGCACAAGTTATCAAATGAGTTGGAACAGGTTTCAAATACAAGCATTTTTAGAGTCTTAAAAATATCTTAATAATAACAGTTCGTTATATCCAAATGTGTGTGGGGGATGTATTCATTTAATCCTGGCTTCTAGACTAATATTCATGAGCAAATACATTTCTGGAATGTCTGGAAACACACAGTTTTAAGACCAAAACTTTAGAAACCAAAATATATGTTTGCAATTTTCAGTGGTGTGATAGTGCTCTTTAAAGTTTCACATCAGGATTTTGTGTACGCCTGGGTTTTTGGATTTTTTTTGCTACGTTTATAGCTCTGGGTATCTTTGGTTGTTCAGTACTTTGCCTGTCTGCTGCAGTGTGATATTATTACAATAGGAAAAAAAAAAGAGCATAAAACAAAGACACAAACTTTAATATTCTAAGGAGGAGACAACATTCTTCTCAGAGATAATCATTTTGCTAGGAAAAAAAAAAAAAACCACAGCTAGATAAGCCAGTTATTTACTTTGTAAAAACTAAAGACATTAATTATAATATAGAATGGGAGACTTCTAAAAGAAAACAGAACAATGCTTCCTAATTACATGAATGGAATCAACCTGAAAGTGGGCAAGAAGAATTTAAAGTCTTCAAAGAATGAGAAGGGGAAAGTCCCCAAGGATAAGGAGCAAGAGTTCATGATGTGAAGTCAAGCAAGTGAGAAATCCTTCCGTAGGTGTGTGGGCAATAGTTCAGGACAGTAATGAAGAATATGTTAACATAATGCTTTCCTTATTGCACTTTCAACAAAATCTTGTACAAAAACCGCTTAACAATGATGTTGTTTTAAATAAAAAAGATATTAGACCAAGGCAAAATATGGACTTCTCAGCATGGAAGGACAAGTACACACACATTTCAAAAAAGCAGAAAAAATAGTAAACTATGGTGAAAAGTAATCAGAAGAAATTTAGCATATAGGAAAATGTTTGAGGATATTGGCTGGGTACATAGCTTCCCATGGAATGAAAGAAACAGATTATCAGAAATTAAGTATGAGAATCAAATGTGTAGAGTGACCCAGGAACTGGAATTATCCACTTGGATTGCATTGTCAAAGCCTTGGTGCATTTTACTTAAGTCGAAGTCTAAGCTCTTTGGTTACAGAACGTGTCTTGTTTTCTGCCTTACTAAATAGGGCTGAAATGAGTACATATGAAGTAAGATTGAATATTAATAAGAAGCTGAAAAGGAAAGAAATGGGAGAAAGGGATATTTTATTTATCTTTCCTCTTCACTTAGCTGAGAACTTTTTAAAGGCTGGCATGATGTCATACTCAATTTTCTTTAAATCTCCTGCACCCACACAGATTTTCTACTTAGTAGGTCAGGAAAGATGAATAGCAGGATGAAAAAAAAAATAAATAGCAAAAGAAATAGGCCAACCATGTTGCCAAAGGAATTTAAACTGCATGATTGAAAGAGAGATAAAGATTAAACAGTGGAGTCTGAATATTGAAGTAAAACAGCAGAGGCACGTTAAGCTGATGCATTGATCCAGACACTGTCAGGAGTACCCTCCATTCCATACATTCGTGCAGCTTGTATCTCAGAGAGGAC